GGATCTCAGGAGAACACTGCTGGTTCTCCCCCTGGAAGGGCTGTAGTCTGCCACCCTGCCTCCTCTTACCAGGGAGGGAGGTGCTTGCTTGGCTTCCCAGAGTCCTAAGTTCCAACATGGCATGGATCTCAGGAGACACTGCTGGTTCTCCCCTTGGAAGGACTGTAGTCTGCCACCCTGCCTCAGCTTACCAGGGAGGGGAGGTGCTTGCTTAACTTGTTTTTTCTTATTGATCTGATAGAAGGAGTCATAATGAGAGTTCACACAAAATTCTACTGTTCTAAAGCACTGTGCAGATATGTAAAGAAATTATGAAATAGGCAAATACGTGAATGGCTGAATCATCTTATAACTTATAATACAATAAGCTTATAAAACATAAAACAAGAATAACTTATAAAACAATAAACTTTACTGTGATTATTGCAAGCCCGTGGGTAACTCATTGCCTGCATGTGAGGATTTACATCTGGGCCAGTGGTAAAAAGAATAAATCACCAGCACCAATCTTCTCTTCTAGTATGACCTAAAAGCCAAGGCAGAAAGTATTAAAAGAGAAGATAATTATGCATGGAAACAGCCGCCAAGTTTTATATAAAACATATTATTTTCTAGTAAGCTCAAAACAGTTTTGCTCAGATGTGGTAAGTTCCCTGGCAGTTTCTGTGTGTTCCGCAGAGAAAGAGCTCAACACATCACCCAAAAGCATTGATTACATTATAATATTCAATTTTACATTCATCTATTGGAAAAAGTGTATCATGTTAAACTTCACGGCACCCTTCTTGGTAGTTTAGAGGGGCCTCCTTTTGAAATATAACAGGACAGGACTCCGCGCTGATGAAACCCTGGTGTGAAACAGATCATACAGCTGAGTTACTCTCTAAAGAACCTCAGCAAGGGGAGGAAGCAGCCTGCCCCGTTTTCCACAACAACAAAAGGCTTTAAGTGCTGTTATTCACACATGTGTTTGAATAAACGGCCAAGGTTCCAAAATTTCCGTGCCACACATGAGGCTGAGAGGTATGCAGAGTTTTATAAACCCCTGGGTTGTAGAGGTCCAGGCCCAGGCGCAGGCTCAGCCCACAGACCGTTTGCTGCAGGTCTTGAGCACTTCTGTGAGCGGACTTTGATGAAAGTCTTCTGGAAGCAGTAAAGGCGTGAAAGCACATGACAAAGAATATGCTTTTATTCTCTCCAAACGTCGCAATCCTCAGAACTCCCCTGTAGTCAGGAAGCTCTGTTCTGCAGGAGAGGTCACAGGACGTGGTAGTGAATGATTCAGAACAGGATCCGTCTTATGTATGCGGTCACTCTCCCCGCCACAACACTAGGCTGTGTACTACTGCCTTTTTGGTAGATTTCTTTCCAACCCAGGTTTTTATTCTAAGAGACAAGGGAAAACTGGCTGATCGTGAGCCGAAACAGTTCCACAGATCTTCATTTATGATGTTGTGATCCAGCCGTCTCATTTTTCCTTTCTCAAACAAAAATCACTTGCTGAGCATGGTCCCGGAAAGAGACAAAGCATCAAAATCCCTGCCTCGCTTCAGGTGTCAGGGAAATGAAACTGCTCGTCCTGCTGCCCTGAGACAGGTCAAAGCTATGCATTTAAGATGAGGTCTCTTTCTTTTCTTTAAACCTATCTGAAAGAGACAGCCAAGAAGTGCCAACCTGCAACACACACATTTGATTTCATTTCCACATACCGCCTGTCACAATGCCCAGGCACGTGCGTGTGTTCGTCCTGCGCATTACTCATCCACTGTCAGGGGAAACACTGACCAGAGAAGAGGAAGATGTATACCAATTTCTTAAATTTCCACAAGGAAATGAGAATTAGTGATGCCAGATTAAAATAATTTCTAACAATGCATGAAGTCTGTTTGTCTCAGAGTAGAACAAAGACAGGAAATGTGTGTAGATATCATTTTAAATTAAGAATTACTCTGGAAATAACAATAAAGCAGTCATACCGAGGGCAAGGTAGTTAAAGAAGATATTATGAAATGCCAAATAAAAATGCAAGATTTTATTTGTTTACTTTCTATCATTCTTCTAAGGCTGATTAGAAGAGCAGAGGCTTTACCCAGATCTTCTGAAGATGATCTTCAGAAAATAAAAAAACCCTTTGGGAATATGTACCCTAAAAGAGACACTATTTTCCACATCTGCTGTCCCAACACTCTGGGAGGCTGAGGCAGGATGGTTGCAAGTTCAAGTCCAAAACCGTATTGAGCCTCAAAATAAAAAGAAATGGGGAGAGGTGATGTAGCACAGAGTGAAGGACCTGGATTCAATTTCTGTGACACACACACACACACACACACACACACACACACACACATGCACACGATACTCCATGGTTTCAACAGGTGGTCTGATAGCCAAGTATTAGTTTTACCATAGACTTAACTGATATTCAGGGACATTGTCTGCGTGCCTGCAGCCCCACCCCTAAGAAATGTTAAGAGATCTGAGTGCAGAAAGGAAAAATTCAGCCAATTCTGGCTGAATCTGCGACATCTATGACTCTATGATCTGTGGATCTCATGTCAGAGATAAAGGACCTGCAGAGACCTTGAAGCATCACCTGTCTCTCTAAGGGAGCAGAAGGAATTGTCAGTGGAATGGGAGTTTACATAGATGCCCTTTTCTGATTTTCTAAGCAGGGTGATGCAAACAGCATCACGTTTAACTCCTGGAGAGGTAGGGAAGATGGATATTATTCTTGTGCAAATGGGAAAACCGTACTGTTAAGACTAGGAGTGGCCATGCTGCAGGTTAGTGGCAGAAAAGAATTACCCACATCTTACCATTTTTCTCTTCCTATAAAATGGGGAAAAAAAAGAACATGATTCCAAAATGAGTGTTAGTTACTTCTCTGTTGCTGTCTAGCTGTACATACTGAGTAAATCAGAATTTGGCACCTCAGTTTTCACATCTGCAAAATGGGTACAAATTTTGCTTTTTCTGTCCTACATAGTTGTGAAAAAATGAAAGCTAAATAGTTTTCACTCTTTTCTGTTCATGCTACAAAAAGGGTAACATAATTCCTTACTACCAAAATGGTAGGGATATTGGGACCAGGTAATATAAGGGGTGGGAGTGGAGAGATGCACAACCTTACAACCCTGATTTCCAAATGATATTCGTGTCAACTTAATTAGCTTCTTTGCCAATCAGTTATCACAGAAAGTTTGTTTGTTTGTCTGTCTGTTTTTTAGAAAAGGTCTCAGTTAGCCCAGGCTGGCTTCAAACTCACCTAGCCACCTTGGTTAGCTCTGAACTCAGGATCCTCCTGCATCAGCACCCCAACTGCTAGAATTACAGGCTTGTTACACACAGCCATACTTTGGTTGTACCAGAATGTTTTAAATACTTTTTTAAGTTAGTCTGTGAGGTTTCCATTCTTTTATGCACTATGCTCAGAGAAGCTTTGCTATATTCCCTAACAGTGAATGGCTGGAACATTCACATGCTGTAAGAAAGCTAGATATTGCCATAGCAGTGTAGTGCATTACTGTAATTTTTTTTTAAACATTGCTAGGAGATCATAGGAGCTTAATGGAATTGAAATCAGCAGGCAAAGCGTAATGAGGAGTAGGAGTCAAATTATTTTAAGAACTACTAAGACATTGTCTATGGCCCACTCTGAAGAGCTAAGAAGCATTGCTTTGTGTGACACCTGACAGGGACGGCCCTCTGAAATGTTGTCTCTTCCCAGGGATCATTAGCGCTGCTCAGCTCCAGCCACAGTGGCAAATGTCAGCCACTCAAAGAAGCTACTGCTTAATTAGATTTGGAGAAGAGAAGGGAAAGGCACATTCTCAAGGTAAAAATGCCAGTCAGTGTCTAAGAGGGGAAAGCCACGGGCAGAGTAGGCATGCTGTCTCTGCACACCTGAATCAAGACGTGGCAATTTACAGCCAAACGATCTAATGCCAAAAAGAACGGGGAAAAGCAGCGCTTCCAGACTTCAGGAGGGTTCCAGAGTTGTCTGCCTGGAAGGTTCTCTTCTCTCAAGCTGCTTCCCTAATACCTGAACATAGTGAAAAGCCTTTCTCTGCAGCTGGCCAAGCAAAAAGCGTCCATTTCCCTTTGATAACCCTTAAAACACACACACACACACACACACACACACACACACACACACACACACACACGCCCTCATTTGGAGTCAGCCTTTACACTTCACAAAGTGCTTCCATTTGTACTGTCCTGGTGAGGATATGGGTCAGGCATCAGACCATTTCACAGATGATAGAAGCTCAGGAAATGTAGGCAATGTGTCCCCTTTCCAAAGTGACAGAAAAATCAGACATGAAACCTACGTCTTTTGAGAGCAAGCATGGTATTTCCTACTACTCAGGAATCCAGCTTCTCCTAAATCAATATGGAATCTTTTCTGTTGTTGTTTTTGGATTTGAGTCCTAAAGTAGGTGAAAAAAATTACCTCGATACATTGAAAGAAAAGAAATACGTAGAAATATTCTTGATTTCACAGAGATAACATTTTTGTTAAAAAAATTAGTTGAATTATAAACATTCAACAAAAAGCATATTTGCACGTGAAGGGATTCTCCAACATGTGCCACCGGGGAGTACCAGTCCAAAAAGATGCTGACGGGCTGCAGGATGTACAGAATTAATTATCTGAAGGATGGACGTTTACAGCTAAAAGTTTTAGGGCTCTCATCTCAGAGCTTTCGCTTAGAGCATCTGTTGAAATCTTAGCAGATGGAACACATTTAACTTCAGTTTCTCCGAGAAACCTGGCACCTCGGGTGCTGTGAAGGGAAAATAAAAGCTCATTTTTATATCATCATTTGTAATATAAAGACATAAACATTACTTGCTCCCGGGGGAGTAGTTTCATTCTTTTTCCTCCCTAGTGAGTCCTATAATTAAGCCTCCCTGAAATAAAAGCTAAGAACTGGGTTTAAATGTTTCTTTGCTGAAGAATGCACTGTGATGCTTTTGTGTTTTTATTTTTACAGTCTCGATGAACACCTTATCCCCTGCTGCTGCTGGTTTGTTTAAAGACCAAGAATTTGGTTGTGCTGACTTATCAGCCTGCAGTTTCTGCTGATACTATGACGAAAAAAACAGTGACGATTCTGCCCTCTTCAACGCTGCTGTGAAAATCTGACTGTTAATATATTTGCTCCTCTCACCCTCGGTAAAGATGTCTGAGCCTGGCCTGTCATCTGGATTTTCAGGCAGTGTGGAGAATGGAACTTTCCTGGAGCTGTATCCCACGTCACTGTCCACATCAGTGGACCCGTCCTCCGGCCATCTGTCCAATGTCTACATCTACGTGTCCATATTCCTCAGCCTCTTAGCCTTTCTGCTTCTGCTGTTAATCATTGCCCTCCAGAGGCTCAAAAATATCATCTCCTCCAGCTCCTCCTACCCAGAGTGTCCAAGCGACGCGGGAAGTTCCTTCACCAACTTAGAAGTCTGCAGTATTTCATCTCAAAGATCTACTTTTTCCAATCTTTCATCCTGAAAAAGAAAGAAAGAAGGAAGGAAGGAAGCAAAGCAAAGCAAAGGAAAGGAAAAAAGAAAGAAAGAAAGAAAGAAAGAAAGAAAGAAAGAAAGAAAGAAAGAAAGAAAGAAAGCTTTAGAAACAAAGATTCTTAACTAAAGCAACAACAGTTTAGGTTTTTCCTTATGAAGAGCAAACCTCCTGGAAAATGTGACCTCTTGGTTTTGACCTGTTTCCATTCTTCATCTTTGATTCCTTTGCTGTTCTTGATGCTTTTCACTTGTGAATGGAGAAGTCAGTGGTGACAGAAATGAGCTCTGACTTGGAGGTGCAGAATTTCACATTCATTCCTTGCCAGATCTGGAGCTACGTTCTTCAAGGTGGAGCAGCATTTGTTGAATGCCATGAATTCAACTAAGAAAGCCTCCAGGGGAATGCTGGATACCGACTCTTGTCTTTCATTTCCCTGAGACCAAGTGAGCCAACAGAAACTGGGAACATTAAGTCTGAACCATGTAGGAGGTATTTTCCTGTTTAAGAGAGAAAGTAGAGACATCATTTTTTTTTAAAAGTCAATTTAGATTGAATGCATAATATTTCTAAAACTGAAAGTAAAAACTTACTAATTTTTTTCATTTCACTGTAACAAATGAAAGTCACATTTATTTATGAATATAAGTCATTTGGAAAAATTTTGGAAGTGTTTTAAACTTTTAATAGCAAGACATATATGTGTCATTATGCAGTTCATCATGTATTTCTGCCTCTTGAGGTTTTTCTTCTGCTTGTGTTGTAGCCGTAATGATCCTCAGCTGTGGAATTCTTGGTGATAATTGCTGCTCCTATTGCTGGGGAAGCACCAGGAAGATGCCAAGAAGATTTTATTTTAGGTGAGAATTGAGAACAGGGAAAATGTTCATCTATTGGATTTTATACAGTAATGATTCTAAGTACTTGTGTGTGTTCCTTGTTTCTCAGTTCTTATAATTTCAGTGCATAATCATATTAAGGCCCCAAGATGTCAAAGTTTAATAATGTTCATTCACATGAGGTTGCAAAACTTAGAAACTAAATTGCTAACACACATGTTACCATAGCTCCACGAATGTTACAAGTCTCTGATAAGTAGTTGTTTTGTATTAATATAATACTCAGCCTTTGGACTCCAACATGTGAGATTATATTAAAGTTGTGGCAGCTCGCAGCTGCTGGGAGCATTAGTAATCCTGGGAACTGGGACGATTGAGCAGGCTCCCTAGACCTTGGACAGGGGAAGGGAGTCATGAAGTTAAATATGCGCATAAACCCAGGCAAGGAATGTGAAAGAAATCAAGTTGCCACTAAAAACAATGCAATGCAAATAAATCCATGACAGCTTCTTGAGAATAAGAATTTTAATTTAATATTAAAAATAAGTGCCCCACAGCACACATACTTAATTTAGCGTGCAACCCATAGTTACCAAATTGTTCTTTGCCCACTAAAGTGGTGGAGCTTTGGGGCTTCTTTTGGTTGTAGAATCAGCACTCTGCAGTGGCAAAATGGGAAGAACAATCCACTATTTTGTAGTCTGCTGTGTCTTTCCAGTGAGGACTAGAAATGTGAATCTAAAGTCTTTTTTTAATCCATAAGCATCCTTTAAATAAGACCACATTTAACTCTATATATCAAAAAAGTCTCCAAACTTCATAACACTAGCACAAACATGCTGCCCTAAAATGTATAATCGGTGAAATATTTATCTCTGCTGCCATTCAAGGTGTAAGGTGTAAAGTGGTTATTATGTAGCATATAATTTGAACTTTCAGATCATTAGCATTTGCTAAGTATACATATGTATGTGCATAAATGTATTTTGGGTGTGTGTTCACAGGTTCCAGTTAAAAGTTGTGTTAAAACTATACAAGATTAGAGACATCTACAGTACCACTTTCACTTTTTAATTATTCTCATGCTATTTTGGTTATTGAGCAGGAGAAGACATGGGTAAGGTGATTTTAAATAATAGAAAGACAAATGCCCCCATGATCTGATAATGATTTATCGTAAGGGGTAGCTTTACATTCTTTCCTTCTGGAAGAAATACAAAGACTTCTGATAGCAAAACTACTTAAATAGAATCTGCTCAAATCCACAAGCACTCCTCACCTCCCCTGCCACAAAGATCTTTACTCTCAACGTTGAATGGAATCATTGGGAACGTAGTTCAAAGATGGAAAATAGGATTTTTCGTTATGAGCTTGCCATGGTAACAGATTGTACAACTTGAGATGAATTTGCATTGTGTAAAAAGGTCAAAAAGGCTGGAAGATGAGTTTATAAATAAAGAAATGAAGTCCACTGAAGACTGGTTTATTCTCTGTTATAGTGAAGTGACCCACAGTTTTCTCTCTTAGAAAGGAGGTTTTCATAGGAGTTTTAAATACATCAATATTCATATAGTAAATCTATCTATCTAGTATATATAGCTACAGGAAACTTCTGTACATATATATGTCTATACAATTTATCATCTCTGTCTCTGTAACCCACCTCTCCATCTCATATTTCCTGTTAATACTGCTTTTATGGCAATAGAGCTCTCTGAACCCCGTCATCTCTTCCGAATATACAGAGGCCTCATCAAACCACCCCACATATTTGAGAGTGGACTCATTCCTAGTTTGGGTATTTGGCACCCTAAATGTTATAAGAAGATATCATGATAAGCAGATATGTATTAAATAAATGGGTACATGTTTTGACACTGAATACAGTAAACATAGTTCCTGTCCTCATTATGTTTATAATTTAATAAAGATGAAATGCAGCAAACAATACCTATTGCAAATAGTGCTGTCAAGAGAATATGATTGTAAAATGACAGACCACAAAGGAAATTCACTTAAGATATGGTGGTTAGGAAAAGCACTTGGAGAGTATGGAGAAAAGTGATCTCTACAAAGAGTATGTACAAAGGTCCTGTGTCAGGAAAGGCTCATGCAAGCGTAAAAGTCCCCATGTTGAAAGGCAGAGCATGAGGTGGAAAGTATGAGCAGGTGCAGGTTGTGCCTGGCCCCATAGCTGTGCAAGGAGCTTGGATTTTATTTTGAGTGCAGCGGAGTCCACTGAAGGCCTTTAAGTAGGAAGTTAGATCACTGAATGTGTGTTTAAGAAAGATTATTCTAGATGCTTTCTGAAAAATAGACCAGCGATGGACAAAAAGTCCCTGTCAGATCCACTCTGGGTGGGATATGAGAGTGGGTGGAGAGTTTGCTGCTTGCTACAAATATCTGTTCATCTTCTAGCCATGGAAACAATCTTAGCTAAGGAGTTTAACCACACAACTTTGCTATCTCTCTCTCTCTCTCTCTCTCTCTCTCTCTCTCTCTCTCTCTCTCTTTCATTTTTCTGATTCCTCTCCTAACTTCTCACAACTTAACCCCAGTTGGCCCTTATTTAAAGTTTTTCAATCATATGTAGTCCCAGTAATGCTTACTCAAGTATTTTTAACATAATGTGTCACTAGTGTTTCAATGAAACTCCAATACAGCAGTCCAGTTGAAGCATTTAATATTTATTTTTACTCTTTTTAAAACTCCATTCCTCAAAAACCTATCATTCTTTGTACACTCTGTGGACCATTCCTTAGGAGTCTAGCTTCTTATAGATAGCTGATATTTTTGGATGGCTTCTCCTCAGTTATCTGTCTGCTCTATTTAACTGAAACCAACTATCACTGGACATTAAGATTCAGATTCAGACAGACTCCTATTCAAATCCCCAAAGCCCTAAATGCTACTTTTGTGACCTCAGGCAACCTCTCTGAGGCTCGTTTTGGTAACAGACTGTGGCAAGGAACTAACAAATGTGTGTAAAGTAAAACCATGTTGCTTAATTCATGGCACATAATGTTATATATGCAAATGTCAATCCTATATAATACAGAATTGTTGCATTTGGGAGTTTTAAAATTTCCAAAAGATAGTTAAGACAGTTATACTTCTAATTTCTAATAGTTGATTGAAAAGAAAGCTTTGTACTAATATTGTTTGGACAATTAAATGTCAATATCTTGTACTCTGAGTAACTAATTTAAAGATAACAGTGTAACAATGTATTAACCATTGTTACCTTCTTACTATCTTGTTTTGAAATTTGGGGTTTTTTTCCTTTTTAAAATAAAGTTTTAAAATCTCCTATTTCTGCCTACCACCTACTTTTCCTGTCTTTCTGCATGTAATTCCTCTTCTTCCTTTCTACACAAACCTAACCTAATTCTCTATGCACCGTGCTCTTACTCTTTACCGTCTTCTCCTGCCTACTCTTTCCGAGTCTCCCCACCGAGCTGCGGGCACGGGAAGAGCTCCTGCAGCTGTTCCCCAGGTGCTCCATCTGTTCGGGCACGGGAAGAGCTCCTGCAGCTGTTCCCCAGGTGCTCCATCTGTTCGGGCACGGGAAGAGCTCCTGCAGCTGTTCCCCAGGTGCTCCATCTGTTCCGGCACGGGAAGAGCTCCTGCAGCTGTTCCCCAGGTGCTCCATCTGTTCGGGCACGGGAAGAGCTCCTGCAGCTGTTCCCCAGGTGCTCCATCTGTTCGGGCACGGGAAGAGCTCCTGCAGCTGTTCCCCAGGTGCTCCATCTGTTCATGCCCATTCCCTCTCGGTGGATCGCTGGTGTTAGGGGCAGTCATGTGTCAAAATGCAATCAATAATGTTGGTGAAACAGACAGAGAACAAAGAGACTGATAGTGAGAACTCTGTGACCTTGGAAATATAATGAAGGTGTTGAAGGGACTTGGGGTTACAATCGAACTTGAACTGATGCAAGGAAGATCAGGTTTGAGTGAGATGGTGCCTGTAAGACCTAAACCTTCGACTTCAAAAGCCGAAACACCTACCATTTGATCGAGATGATTTCTATCAATACTACTTGGTATGCAATAGAGCCCACTTACCTCTCTAGTCCCTTTTAAATACCCAGAGACCCCATCAACCCATCGCAAGCCTAGCTTTTCTTTATTTCTGATAGTTATTCAAATTACAAGTTGGCCTCCTCACTCACTGACAGAAGCCAAAACGATATAATACTGAAAAGACTCTGCTTCTTAAATGTGGACACAAAAGCATCTCAGTTCTATGGGCAGCCCAGGAAACATGGGGACACATGCACGCATCACGTATGGGGAGTCCCTTTGGGAGACACATCCACCTCTGATGAAATGATAGGTGGTCCTTAGCAAATATTTACTGAGCACCTAATGTTTACTGAGTTATTCTTCTTTGCTAAACTGTGGACAAAACAGACAGAAATCGGTCAAGAAGTTTCCATATAGTGGAGAAGGCAGAATAACAATATAAGGAAACTGTGTGGTATGTTGGGTAATTACAGGTACAAAAGTAGGGAAAAAAGCCAAGAAAGGAGATAGAAAAAGTCAAATATAATTGGAAGTTTAGACATTGTAGACAAAGGAAACTTTTCTGAGAGAATGTTAATTGATTTGCAGAAAGAATCGCATGACCCTCTAGAAAATTATAACATAAAAATGATTGTTGGGTCTCCATTATTTCAATCCCTTGGAGTCTGCCAACATAAAACCACAAATCAAAACCTAGATTCCAGAGTTACCTGGGAAAAACGGTCCCTCTTACATTGAATTAACCTCTCCTTTCTCTATTTCTTGCTGTCTTCCACCCACTGATGTGGCCTATATGGCCAATTTCAATTTCAACAGCTTTGATTTTTTAATATAATTGAAATGAATGCACTTTGGTATCCTGCCAACCCAGCCTCAGAAATGACTAGAAGCAGGAATAGACTGCTATTAGCGTTTACTAGCTGTCAAATGAGCGCTCTAGAAAGAGGTACAAGACACAGCAGACACACAGAAGAGGAAACCTGTTTGCAAGCTGAAGAGGCTTGAGTCAGGCCACTTGAATGATGCTGAAGCAGGGCTCTGAAAGAACAGAATATGCAAAACTACGAGCTATATCCAAAGGTCTCAGCATATCCAAAATATATGCAAAGGATTGCTGGGCATGCCCTATTGCAGATGTAAAAGGCTGACCAGCAGATCAGCAAAGAATCATCTTCAAAGCACTCCTGCCTTTCCTGCTAGATGCAGCATCATAATTGCCATGGTCCTGTTGTCTGTACAGCACCTCAAGTCTTGTAGCTAGATACCCCAGGCAGCGTATTGGCAGGATGAGGTCAGAAATCCAAGGTCAAAGACAAGTGCCCCCTAATAAGGAGACTCTTCACCTCACCCACGTGCCTTTATCTCAGAGGAACAGAGGACACAGTGCCCGCTAATGACCCCAGGAAGATAATAAAGCTTTAAGTCCCTTCCAGGGAATGTAGGGAATGGAGTAGCCAGATCTCAGCAAGCCAGGACCTCAGCCACTAGATCTCATACACTGCATTATATTTAGGTGTTATTTTTGAGCTCTCACAAGTAGAAGAATGCCATGACCATGTGTTTCACAAATTTATTTGAAAGTAGAAATAAGTGTGTGTGTGCAAATTTCAGGTCCTCTCTCTCCAGTTTTTGGCACGTAGGATAGGTTAGTAATGTTCTTAGAATGAATGAGGGCGTAAATGACAGACCAAGCATGCAAGAACAAATGCCTTCTTCTCCAAGAAGGACAGTAGATGAGCTCAAATTTGTGAGAGAACAGATTCACCAGACTCATTCAAATGACACCACCAGACTCACTCAAAAACTGGTGGAAATGATGTGAATCAGAGACCCTCTAGTCCTTTAAATCCTCCTTCATGGCAGCTCTAGCAGGTATTCTTTTGCTTAAATAAGAGAGTGGAAAGAAGTCAGCCTGAAAGACATGCCTGCACGGATCACTGAGTTTTAGAAGTGAGTAATAGTTTGATGAAGCAGAACACACTCTATGTCCTGAAAATGTCCATGAGGGCAGGAAAAGTGGTAATAAATTAAAGAACACACAGAAATGCTGAACAGCAAGAGGGTCCTATTTGTTTCATGGAACCTGCTCTTTTTGAGTCTTTAAACTTTTCTTTCTGACTCTGTTAGAGTAGCTCTCGACCAGCTGTTCCACATAAATATGGAGGTATTTCAAGCTTATTTGTACTCTTTGCTTCAGTGACCCTACAGACGATTTATCCTGCACTGTTTACTGGGTTGAAGGAAATCCAGGGTTCCGCCTGAATTCTTTTTCCCTGTTAGAGACTTTGCTGCCTCTTGCTTTGGGCTTCTTTAACCTACTAAAAATAATTTGTTCCACTACTTTCCCTCTCCACCTCCTTCTGATGCTGAACCTCAAAGGTTCTTCTCCAGGATTTCCATTCATCTCAACTGCTTTTTCCAGGAGCAGGCACTCTCCCCACACGG